CCATTTCATCGTCGTCAAAGATTAAGTCCCACAACAGACGATACATCGCGATCAAAAACCGATTTACACACACAAATATCAACTACTATTCCACCAACACCGTCGTCTTCTCATGTACGTAACATAAATATAAATTTAACAAAACTCTAAAATTTCTCTTTTTTCTCATAGAATGCTGCACAAGTATTTTCTTCGACAACTGCAAGAAATAATGCATCTGATCAACAACAACTACAGCAAACAATCACCGATAATGTTTCTACTTCCAATAGTCAAAATCTCGACTCATTATCAACGACCACACCCAAAAATTTAAATAATGACAAATCATCATCGTCCGTCAGTACTGATTGGGATCATCAGCAAGTAGCAACTACAAGTGGTCCATCGTCAGTTATTCCAACAACGGCTGCAAATTCACCAAATCCTGTTGTGTTAACATCAACAATAGAGAAAAAAGGTTTAAAACGATCTGCCAATGCACTTGAAGAATCTTATCGTGGATATGATGACGATGATGAAAATGATAGTATTCAACAGCCAAAACAAACATACGACTTTCATGCAACAGATATATTGTATGCTTTTCTTCAGTAGTAAAAAGAATAGAAAAAATAGATTTTTTCAATTCTAGTTTACAACTTCCCTTAAAGAGATTTCGTCACGATACTGATTCATGTGCATCATCGGTTCAACAGCCATTACCAGTGACAACAGCACCAATGCCACCTTCAAATACCTCTGATCAAATTTATCGTTATGGTTTAGCGACGCCTCCCACTCCAACTCAAATCAATAAGGTAGAGTGTCTTTCATGTTTTGCTAATTCTTATGTGTTAAATAAAAAAATAAAAAGATGTTTTACTCTACAATTCTCTTGATTTAGGATCCATACGCTTTTGATGATGAAGATGAATCAGTAACATTAGGTGGTCCGAAACCGTCCAATCCGTACGGAAAAACTGTTGAGACGGTAACAATTGCTACCGCTATTACTTCTACAAATTCGTCTATTGCTCAACAAAATAGTCAACAATATTATAAAACAGATGATTTGAAGCCGTCATATTCGGATCTTGAGAGAATTTTTGAAGGGTCCTCAAATGATCCAAATGAATCAAATACATCGACAAATTTGATGTCGACCACAGGTATCTTGACCAATGGAGAAGTACGTTCACCACAAAACGAACGAAAAGAGTCAATGACAGTATCAACACTAACAACATGTGCAACAATGAAACCACTTAACAGTAGGTGTTTCTTTTTAAACATTGCACACATATTTTTCCTCATATTTCTCATTTAGATTTTCATGGTTTAGAAGAAATTTATGCTACACCACCAGGTTCTTCATCATCCGATAAACTCAACTGCCTTCATTCACCTTATATGACTGAGACTGTGACAAATCCTAATGTATCTGCCTATGCAGCAAAATTAGAAGCCGCTCTTTTATCTGTCTCATCAACACCAACAGTAGAAATATTAAAACAATTTAATAGTGAATCAATTATTGTTCCATTTGAACCTGTTATTATTGAAGAACAATCGGCATATTTTCCGTTAAAAAAGTTTTCATCCACAAATGGCTATTTATCAAAATCATCCTTGACTACGAAAGAATTAAAACCACTACGATATGAACCAGTACCGATCACTTCGTCCTTGACGACATCATCCACCTCATGGACAACTCAAACAAAATATTCAAGAAGACATCAGCAAAATCCACTAATTGAGTATGCTTAACTTATTTGCTCTTGATTGTTATCATTCTTTTTTCATAATTTTTGAAAACAGTATGCTCTTTCTTTGATTTTGCCAATTGATCTTTTGATTTTATGGTTATTTACAATTTATTTTAGTTCTGCGAGTCCAATGGACAACCGTCGACATGCACCACGTTCTACTCCCGGTGGTATAGGTATAGGCAGTGTACCGTCGACAACAATTCCCACTCCATTAGGTACCAATCCAACGTACTCTCCAATGAACACATCAATTCCATCGATCCGTTCTGTCGATTCTACTCGTTCAGTAGGAAGCATCATAGCTAGTCCGGGACCAGGATCTGTACAGCCACGTAACAGCGTTGAACCCTATTCTGTTTCGGCAATTAATTCAATATCTTCGACATATGAACGAATACCCGAAGCCGATTCCCTATATTTTAACATATTGTTAAACGATAGCATATTGAACATCTTCCGTGATATGAATTTTGACTCTTGTGTACTTTGTGCTTGTACACCAAATGAATTAAGCATACGTGGAACGGATGCAACCATTTATCTACAACAACAACAGCAATTGATTCAGCAACCACCACCACCACATCAAATACAATCAAACCATCAACTTCAACAACAACATTCTCATCATTCACTATCGAATTATCAAAACATGATGCAACACCCGCAATATCTTCACAATCATAGTCGCTATGATCAACAGCATTCAATGCAAGGACAAATGATGATGACACCAACAGTTTCTTCAAATAATCACAATAATCATAATGTATGTTCATGTGGTTTTAGTGCGGTGATTAATTTAAAATTAAGTGCCAATGCCGGTTTATTCTATGAAGATGAAATAGAAATAACTGGAATCAAATACGAAACAAAATATAATTACAAAACATCGTTGAATACGACAGAAAAATTACCACCAAATTTAATTGAAATGATAGAAAAACAAGAATGTCTGCCATCACCATACGAATGTTTCAATACAAGAAAAGTCATCACTAGACTAACGACCACGACGACGACAACGACGACGAATAATGATTTACAGTCTGCAATAAATGTTAATAAAAATCAATTAGCAATAAATAACAGTGAAGCAACAAAGCTTTCGTTGAGAAGCTCGAAAAATTCAGTTTATTATAGTAAGAAGGCATACTCTTTTTGTACCCTATAAAATCGTTCTATGGTTTTTTTTTATTGCTTAGATGAGAATTTTGCATGTTGTTCAGCAATGGAGCAAGCCAGAAACATTATGGATAATATCATGCTCTCTAAGGATGAACTTGATAAACAAAACTGGCTACATTTGTGGCCATACTCACCATGTATGTCAAACATTTCTTACTCATTTTTATTCATATTTTAACTTGAATATTTTATAGCTCCACTGGATTCTGATCAACAAATGATTAGTATGTTAAATTCATTACAACCCTTATTAGTTGACGCCTTGAATAAACGTACTGTGAGTGGTTTATGGAATTCAATAGAAGGACCGTTAACGTGGAAACATTTCAATCAATTATTATACACACAAAATCAGCATATACAGTTAGATGAACAATTAACTGGTCCACAACCGATTCCCTATGTATTGGCCGGCTTAGATCGTGAATGGTTAACATTAGCACCGTATGGTCTAAAATTTTGGGATAAATTATGTCTGGAACCGTATTCAAAAGCAAAAGATATTGCTTACATATGTGTTGTGCCTGACAATGATTATATATGTTCAATGACAAAACTTTACTTTCGTGAATTATCAACACATTACGAATTATGTCGTCTTGGTGTTCATCGACCATTATTAAAATGGTTTCGAGACAACGGATTATTAAGAATAAATAGTGCATCGACCCTCTCTTCTCAAAACAGTGACTCATCATCATCTACAACAACGACGACGACGACGACGACGAATGTACCGACATCATCTATTCCTGTTGATCAATGGTTTACTGATAATGAAACACACCCAGTTGGCGCAAGATTAAAATTATATGCTCAGACATTGAAAGCAAATTTACGTACGTCTGTTTGTTTTCTTTTAGTAATGAAACTTATTACCGTATTTTACTGAACTATAAACAACAGATGTCTACATGTTAGTCATCTTTATTTTCAATGAAAAATGGAAAGAAAAGATCGTATATGACATCATTTTCGGTTCTTTTTGAAATTTGTGGATTAGGATGATCAGAACTCAATTTTGTTGCCTTCAGTTAACTTTTATCTATTTTTTAATCATTTTAGAGCATCTACTTCAAACTCAAACTCTTGATCATACACTTCATGAAGAAGCACCAAAACGTGAAGTATTTCGTGCTCCAAATGATATTTCTGCGAATACATCGACCACACCGTCGTCAGTTGAAATGAATAGTGGTAATGATATTGGTCTTTCAGCCCCATCTTCATCTCCTTCATCAGCCGATAAATCAAATATGAATTTATATGCCAATTTCAATTCTTCATCCAATGCTATTACCGGTGGACTTGGTGATAGTATGAACAATAATCTCATGAACAGTGCCATTGATCCTCATGATTTACTAGCATTTGATAGTTTACAACAAGGTCGAACAGCAAATGATGATCAACCCTTCATTGTTTTATATATTATTGACACATTTCGTTATGATTTTATTGATGATAGTAATTCGAATCAAGATGATGATGAATTAGAATGTCATGTAAAGAAGGGTATACTACGTGCCTATATGGATCTTATTAAACTATTACCAGATAAAATAGCAACGAAAATTAATATACAAGTATAGAATTTTTCTTATTCATAGACAATTAAAAATTGTATTTTTATCGTGTTTAGATTGTACCATTTGAATCTGTTGTTGGACAACAAATAGAATCAGATACTGAATTAAGATTAACACAATTAAAACGTTTAGCATTTCATGTCTATGGTCAATTGAGAAGGACAATAACATATACATCACGTGCGAAATCATTAACAGGATTTGGACCTGCAGCATCGGAAGAAAAAGCATTGACAAAAGCGGTAAGTAGAATTGTACACACATTGTATAATTATATTGAAGATTATACACACTTTTTTAAAATTGGCTACAGTAACATTTTCAAGTTTCACACGGTATTTGAGTGTGATAAAACAAACTATAATACGGATGTATTTCATGTTTTTTTTGTGGTTTCAGCTCATGCAATTATATACACCAGCGTACATATTATCACCAAAATCTGATTTTCGGTATAAATCATTTTCTGATCCAAATGAAATATCGAACAATGGCTGTGTATTATTTTGTTCATATTGTTTATCTGATGATCAACGTTATTTATTAGTTAGTTGTTCAGATGATAGAGGAGAGTTATTAGAAACATGTTCAATCAATATTGAAATATCTGACAGGTGAATTAACCATTGTCTCTCATCGAATAAAAAATGAGAAAAGTGATCACTGTGTGGAATAGAAGATAAAATTTGCTTGTTTATTTATTTTAGACATCGACGAAAAATACAGCATGCACGACGTATTGGTTTACAAAAATTATGGAATTTCATTATGCGTATAATAACAAGTACCACAATGCCTTGGAGAATTGTTATTGGACGACTTGGACGATTAGGACACGGCGAAGTAAAAAGTAAGTTGACATTATGGAATTATGTTGTCTTTTGTACATTTTCTAAATTATTTATAGGCTGGGGTGTGATATTATCGAAGAAAAATTTGGTGCGTTGCGCAAATATCATACGTGATACTTGTCAGTCGTGTCATACATTGCGGTCTCATGATCAACCAGTAATATTGTCAGCATGTCTTATCTCGTTAGAAACACATACATCTTTAACTATACTACCAGAATCAATTGAGCTTGCTGATGTACGTGCTGCGGGTACTCAAGGACAAATTGTTGATGAAGTATCTGTAACACACATTTTAACATTACCAACATCGGCATCTGTGGTACGTTCTATTTTTTCTAATATCTTATTTATCTCTATCTTTTCAATGGGATATTATCGTTCTTTAGACATCACAAACGTTAACAACGCGTAATGATGTAAATCCAATGAATATGACCAATACAGAAAATGATGAAGATTTTTTTAATGAACTATTTGGTCAATTAGATCCTGAAGCAGAAGGACCACCGAATGATGCATTCGATCTTGTTTCACCACCACCACCATCAGCTGATTTAACGGATACATTTTCGTCCAATATGGGTGGTTTAGGCTATCATGGTATGAATGCTAGTGGCGGTGGTAGATCAACAAATGCATTAACAACAACAAATGATTATAATTGTAAAGATAATAATGGTTTAAATATGAATGGAAAATCACATTATGATCATTCACTTAGTTGTGATATTGATTTAAATGAAATACCATCGTTACATCAACAACCATTAGCTCTTGGTTTTTATGTGTCAACAGTGAATACATTAAATAAATTACCAGAATGGATGTTAAACAATAGTTATAGTGAACGAAATAATAAAAATTGTAGTATATTTAAAGCTACACTACACATGCATATACCAAATGCACAACAATCAGATGATATGTTATTTCAACAAAATATTGATCAAAAATTAGCACATCCACTAGATTCTAATTTTACCTACGTTGTTTTAAGGTAATACATCAGTATTTTTATATTTCTTTTTTATTTTTCGCTAATAATCTTAAAAGTTTTCCCTAACCGATGATATTGGACAATATATATTATTTTAGCATTCTTACATTTGACTAGAGAAAATTTGATCTCTAATTATATATTTTTTGTTTTTTTGTTTAGACACGTTCTCGAATCTTATAATCGTCTATCATGGTTATTAATCGATCCGAAAACAAATGAAAGAGCCAGTTGTCTACCAATTCATATTGAAACATTATTAAGATTATATCATTCGTTTGTTAAATTTGTATGATGAGTATATTTTGTTTTTTGTTTCGGTTTATCTGCAAATTTTCTGTTTTTTTTTTGTTTTTTTTTTTGTTTTTTTTGTTTTTTTTACCTTTTGCAATGAATAATTGGCACTTTTTCGGGCGGATGTTTTTGTGTTGTTTTCTTTTTTTTAATTTATTTCATATAACCAACTGAACTTCACTTTACTTCACACAATGAATTCTTCTTTTTCCGTCATTCTCTCTGTCTCTCTCTCTCTCTCTCTCTCTCTATTTTTTTAAAGCAGAAACTTCTATATGATTCATTAAATTTGGAAAACGCAATTTTCTCGATTTTACGTATATATATTTTCTCTGTAGCCATATTGGCTAGTTTTTTGTTGTTATTTTTTTTGTTTCTTTGCTATAACAGTAATTTTAAAATCATCGGATATCCTCTCTTAATGTCGCGCTCCACTGTACGACTTATAGGAATCTCTCTCATTCTCGACACCAAAAAACACACATCTAAATTCCGTTTTCCAATCCATCCACCCGATCTGATGATGAGCCTCTTAGCTGACAATGTGGATACGGCTGTTTTAGCGATTTCTTTTTTACATATAATCTGTTTTCGACAAGTCTCTCTCGCTCGAAATAATTCTTTATACTACTTTCATGCTCAGTGTTTTCTCTCAAAGTTAGTGGTTACTTTCATTTCTGTGCATTTCATTGTTAAACTATTGTCTACTGCTCTTATGTACAGAATTTATTATGAGCAATTTTTTTAACTGTGAGAGTATTTCAGAGAGACATAACTATGCTTATTGTTCTTGCTTTTTTCTTTTGCGCTCCATTGTTAGAGAATTTAACTAATGACAATGGCTGTTTGCATTGATATCTATACACCATTCTGATGAACAATCTTCTCCCTCTATGTCTCTCTCTCTTTCTCTCTCTCACACTAGTGTTGTTGTTATTATTGTTGTTTTCTTCTGTCTGTTGCTTTTTCAAATGTTTTATGGAAAACAAAAACACAAATGTGTATATTTATATAAAATACACATCTGTATATATACATATATACATAACATTTAAAATAAAAACGAGCTGATATCTCTACACCTATTTACTGAGAACTTGAATTATTCAGCATTCATCTGTACAGTTAAAATACTTTTTTCATAGATTGTATCATATACAGTTCATTGTCTAGAAGATAAATTTTTATGCAGTTGAGAAAGAGACAGAAGTTGATAGTCAAACGCGTGAAAATAAAATGTATGCCTCGACTGGAAATCGAACTCAGGACTTTTAGTAACACCCTGGAAGCTCTAACCACTGAGTAGCTCAGTGATCTTAGGTTCGATTCTCGATCGGGGTATACATTTTATTTTCAAGTTCTTGTCTATCAAATTATGTTTCTTTCTCAGCTCAGCTACGTAAAAATTCATCTTCTAATTTCATCTAAAAGTCCTCTTTCAAATTCATTGTCTCATTTGTTAACTAAGATCTTTGTTTTGAGGGTAAGTTTAGCATCAACCAATAAGACAATCGGTGAAAATATTCAGTTATTTGGGAATAGAAACAAACCATCCAAGTTGTAAAATAAGATTATTAGAAAACAAGAGATGTGTAATCGATAGATACCGAATTGACACTTAATTGATAACGAGTAACGTTTTAGGGTACGCAGTGTATCTAAAGAATGAGTTCTTATAAAGCATTTCCAGGTGACGTACGTGATCAGTGAAAAAGATGAGATTAGGCATGCAACAGTTTTGGTTAACCGAAACCGATCAGAACTGATAACCGATATAACAAAAGCTTTATTTGTACATATTCTTGAAAATACATTTGAAACAGTATGAAGGAAATATCTGGGAATGTTTATGCTAGAGAAGAAAATGCTCATTGTTGCACCATGGTAACTTTTTGTACTATTCTGATAACATTTTTCACGAAAATTTAAGGAAAAAAAGTTATTTTTAAGATATAACTTTTTTTTATTGAAAAATTTCGCTTTTTATAAAATAACATTTTTTCCTTAAAGTTTCGTGAAAAATGTTACCAGAGTAGTACAAAAAGTTACCATGGTGCAACAATGAGCATTTTCTTCTCTAGCATAAACATTCCCAGATATTTCCTTCATACTTTTTCAAATGTATTTTCAAGAATATGTACAAATAAAGTTTTTTTTTGTTATATCGGTTATCAGTTATGATCGGTTTCGGTTAACCGATTAAAAACCGAAACCGGTGCATGTCTATATGAGATTACCAGATGCGAAAGCTGAGATTAATTTTGAATTGTAACTTGATGACTAGATCACTCAAAAACGATCAAAATGAAAAAAGTATTTCTGTTCGATTCCAGGTTAAATGGAATGCTTTTGTTCCCAAAAATCACGTTAATTCACGACAATATCATCCCAATCGGCACCCTTAAAACCACACAAAAATCATAAGTAAAAGCTGTTTTCATCAAATTTCCGACATCTAAACAGCAAAGTAAATATACTGTTGGATAGCCCATGAAATTCTCCATAAATTCAGCTAGTCAGACAATCTAGATCGGTTCATTTGGTCATCAAGAACATGCAAAAAACGTCATGGATCTACAGAAAACGCCTATAGAAAACTCCTTTAGTCATTTTTCTGTCTTAATGAAAAATTATATATTTTTCAAAACTATACTGTTGGATAGCCCTTGAAATTCTCTACAAACTGAGCTGATCAAAATATCTAGGCAGGTGGAACCGGTCATTAAAGATGCGTTTGGGTGTCATATATGCAGTACAGTGTGTCATAATCACAAGAACTCCTTTGCTTTTGATTTTTCAGCAAAAGCTGGAACAAATATGAATACTGTTTGGATAGCCCGAAGATTTTTCTGTCTGATGAGGTGCATATCATCATTTTATGAGAAAACTTTGATAATAGGATTTCTGGAAAACCTGATCGTTAGAAAACCAGGTCTTTGGGTTTTAGCCAGAAAATTTTGTAAATCATACAGTCTGATGAAGCAAAGATTCTAAGCAAAATGAGATATACTGTCTATAACGCTTTTCGTTGAAAAAGATTTTCGACCGGATGATCATTTCGCTGCTCTCCTCATCAGCATTGAACGTCAGTCAAAGTATGAAGATTAACTATTGTGTGGTTCCGGAAATTCATTGAGAACGAGCACTCACGATTGAAATATACGTAGCAGAGCGATAGTGAGGAACAAAGGATCGCTCTTTCTACTGTAGAATCTGCATTCAATGCGCATCATAATTATGAAAAAATAATCATAGAAACCTATGATTACGAAAAACGTAGGTGAAAATTTTGTCAGAAAGATTGACCTTCGTCATTTCACTTATTTTGCGTTCTTTTCAAATCCCTTATATTTTCAAGCAAAACTAATAACATATTTGAGATCAATAAACAAAACTGAGTCGAATTGAATACTTAACATTTGCTTTTCGAACAAAACAGTTTCACTGAAAATTTTCTCTCTAGATTAATGGTGACTGTAATCTATCTGACAAAAGCGGTACGTGTATTAACAAATGCGGAGTACTGTAGTTCAGGGGTGTAACCGGTATCAAAAATGCGATACCGGTACTGGTCACCGGTATACGAACTTCGTACCGGTACCGGCTTGTCTTGATCGTGTTTTGCCTAAATACAAACACTTTTTCCTTGTTTATAGAAATATGTCATAGATGAACTGAATTTACACGATATTTTTCGCCAAATCGTATCATACCGCAAAGTACCAGTAATGTCGACCGATTGATTATACCTCATACTAATGCTGGTATACCGATCGGCCTTATAATTCATACCGGTACCGGTTGCACCTCTGCTGTAGTTCAACAAGCAATTCGATATAAATTAAAATTAATATCTGACAGAGAAAATAGACAACATTTTAGATTATTTTCAAAATCTTGTGAAAACTTAGAAAAGATCAATTCAGAATGAAATCTATTAGCTGGCTAAGTTTTGTTTTGATATTGATGAATTTCCTGTCACAGCGACGAGATATAAACGCCCGTTTAGTAGATTGAAACTCGTCAAGAATCGTTTAAGGTCTATGATGGGTGATGAAAGGTTATTTCATTTAATGTTATGCCCGATAGAAAGGAATTTTCTTGACAGCTAGTGTGTTATACAATTAGCCAAAATATGTGAAATACATAAACATCGTCGAATGTCTTTAACGTCAATTTTTGGAAAAAACTGAATTAGGGACGTTGTTCGACGAAAAATCTTGGAGAGGAGCAAAACAGATTAACTCGTCTAACATTGTCTTTCAAAACGAAGATAAATAACCAATCACTTCTCCTGCTTTTTGCTCTCGCCACGCTGCTACTAACAGAAAAAATGTTTTTTACAGTGTTATTCCTGTGTACGTTGATCTAGCTATTTCACACCTCTGTATACAGTTACGGTCACTGTTATTTTGAAAAAACGCGTTTATGCGAAAAACTCCAATATGCTAAGTGCAATAAACCTATTTTAGAGTTTTTTAGTATAACATTTCACTTTCACATTTTGTAATCAGAGACACAAAACGTTTTTGTGGAGAATTGTCTTTTAGTAATCAAAAATCTTAGGGATAAGCTCTGACGGAAATATGAGGAAATTACAAAGAGATTGATTCTTTATAAGCCCTTGATAAAAAATACAAACAAAAAAAGAAATTATAGAATATGAAACTGTCGTAAACATGATTTTCTAACTGAAGACTATGCCAGAGTATAATAACAAAACTTTCAAACACAAAAGTCATCAGAAGGCATATAACAATGAATAAACAGCTTTTCTTTTTACGCTTTTTTCTTTTTTTCCCTTTACACTTGTATGTTTGCGCTTATATATCAGTTACGGCAGAAATAAAACAAGATGATCGTTTATGTTTTTCCTAATGTACTACAGTAGTTATTTGTTCATCAGATAAAGGTGACAATCGTACACTGAAAAGTTTCAACACAAGAATCAGATCATCAAAAGTATATTTAAGAGAAGAAATTAAATGACTTTTAAAAATA